AGCATGAAACTGCTGAAAAATTGCTCATTAATCGCGATGCAAAGTAATCACTCGACCAAAGGTAGGTTCATTTTTATTTCTCACCATTTTCGCAAGGATTACAAGGAAATCGTTCGAAACGCCGATATTCGAGATGAAAAGGTGCCTAAATATCGAAGATCGAGGTTCTCACTGCCCGGTATATCTACTGCTGAGGCTTCCAAAATGTCTTTTTTATCATAGGGTAATTCCGGGAGGGATGGGCCGGCGGGAGAGACGGACCAGGCAAGTATTTCCTACATTATCCGCCATATGTGGAACGCGTCAGTATTCTTTTGTTTTACGGAAAGCGATCTCGGTGCTTTTTCTTCCATATCCGGCGGATAATGTAGGAAATACTTGCCTGGTCCGTCTCTCCCGAAATTACCCTATATATTTTTCTTTCTCACCATTTTCGCAAGGATTACAAGGAAATCGTTCGAAACGCTGTTATTCGAGATAAAAAGGTTCTCACTGCCTGGTATCGCTATTCTCGAGGCTTCCAAACTGTCTTTTTTATCATATATAATGTAATTCGAACTCTAACGAAGAGATATTTCTTCCGCAAGCACAAGGTTTGCATCTGGAAGCCTCGGTATTAAGTACCGAAACATAATTGCCTCTCGCAACTTTGACGATCTCTCTGTGTTTATTCTACTCGCAGAAACACGTCTGTTCGTCATAATCATGCTTGACATGTAGCGTTCATTGATCAATTCTCGTCCAAGTTTCGACGTGAAATCGTTCGTCGTCTTTCCTTTCTCTCCGATTCATTGTTATTTCGCGAAATTAATCAGAACGATCTATCTATTCCGTGTCGCGTAAGAGAAACAGCGAGTTTCTTCTTTTTCTTCCCTCTCGATCGTAACGATACTGCGTAATCGTAAGTGGAACGATATACAGTGGAAAGATTCTCCGCTGCATCGCCGGAGCATTGTGTGTATCGAGCACTCGATCGTTTACTTATTTTCCTTCTTTTTTCCCCGACGCGTCTCGAGGGTATGGCGACCGCTGGCGACCGCGAGACGAGTGCCTCGTGTTTGATAATCAAGATAAAAATTGAGGCTATCGACGACGAGTAACCGACTGATCGACGCGTCGTTACTCGCCCTTCCTTCCCCCCTTTTCTCCAATATCCGGAATTTTCTGACACAGTTAGAAGACGTGCGTAAGAAGACATCGTTCGAGACGTGCGCGATGATTTACCGGGACGCCATCTTGGAGGCTAGTGAGGACTTCGCGCCGCCATTTTGGACCCTTACGAGCGTCCTCTCGAGCTTCTCGAGCTGGAGAACTCGCGACTGGATTTGGAAACTGTGAAAGAAGAATTTGATATACTTTCGAATAGAATAAACATGAATTTCTTTAATTGTTCTTATCTTTGATTATTGTCCCTATGAGAAAGTCGAAAAATGGAATATGCAAATGGCATGAAAATCGAATGTGTAGTATAATGGAGTACGAGAAAAAATGGAATGAAAGTCGAATGTGGAACGTAATGGAATACGAGAAAAACTGGAATGAAAATCGAACGTGGAACGTAATGGAAGACAAGAAAAAATCGCACTTGACGCCACAGTAACAAGTGTAGCAGATAGCATTTTTTAATTTCTTTGAAAATGATTTTTTAACGTGTTAACCTATCATCGTTTGTTTACAGTCGTTCTGCCGCATTGTTTACCAATCCTTGAAGCAGGAAGATACAAGAAAATTGCAAGTTAATCGTTGTTCACGAGCGTAACGGGAGTAAATAAACGAAATCGCGTACACGTCCCTCCACACGCCACTCGCGTAATCCGCGATGCAATTAAAGAGCAATCTACGCGAATGGAAAATAAATTCGTAGCTACGTTTGTTTAGCGTGATGTAACGATTACAGAGAATCGATTATTTTTTCCCCCTTGGATCGAGGCTGTTCCAGGTATTCGAGAAAGTCGGACAGCGGTGGCGTCAGACACTCGATACGAATCGGAGATCCGTGCAACTGTTTTGATGCGATAAAATTTCACTTCTCTAGAGAAATTAGGCGCCGTTCGAGCTCGTCGAGTCATTCGAAATAAATTTGAAATGGTATTAATGTATTGGAGAGCTGACGAATCGCAAGTAAATAAGTGTGCACGATTTTTAAGAAGATTTCTAGGAAAAATTAGGAAAAAAAATTCTTGTATTAAATTAAAAATCTGTTATTTAACTCTTTCAACCTTCTGTCCTTTCCCCTTTATCGTTTAATCTTTCGGTACTGAACTGAAAAATTTACGAATTCTATAATTTCTCTTTTAAAGTTTGGGTTCTAGAAACGAAGGACCAAAGAAAAAACGTTTGAAAAAATTTAGACTCACTGCAATTAGGTCTGAAATCATAAAATACAGCACTTGACTCTATATTTTTTTGAAACGTTTCTCACCTTACTCTTCTGCCTCTAACACACGAATTGAATAGCGAAGGCTTCGAAAAACACCGTAGTATTTTTATTAATACGAAGAAACGGCGATAAGTGCGCCAAAGCTTCAAACGCCGAGCAAACCTTTATTACAAGCCTCGCGTTTGTCCGTATCCCATAGATACATAAATTTCAAACGTATCAAGAGACAATCACGAGTTCAATTGCACTCATCGCAGCCACGCGTCCTTTTCATTCCCATTTTCCCCCTGCAAATTCTCGATACCGTTCTATCACGTTCAAGAGCTCGTTCCACAAAGAAAACCTGAAGAAACGCGCTGCTATTTTTTTCCAAACGACTCTATCAGATAGAACGCTGCAAAAATGACGTTGAATTGGCAGAAAGTGTGCGATTTGACGTGGAATGTTGCACGTGCCGCCGCGTGCTCGCATGATTTTTACCGTCGCGACGCACCCCGATGCAAGAATTACGCGTTCACAACTACCTTGCGCAATCTACGGCAATCATCGGACGTGTCTTAATATGGATCATCGCTGTGGCCAAATAGCAGTCTCGATTAACCAATTAGAAACACCGGTCGGACTTTAACTAGCTGCGTTGCTCGGCGATGATGCGACGAAAATTTTCGGCGTCTGGTTCCGGGTAATTATTGGGTAACGCTGCTACGTCAGATCTAGCTGTAGATCGTTTCAGAAGAGCGCTGTTTACGTTCGAAATAGTCGAGACGAACGTCACAACGTTCAAGACCTGTCCCGTTAGCCAAATAGTGTCGCTCGAAGGGAATCACCTGGCTCGTGGAATCCCCCAGGTGTGATTCATTCCTTCACGTTCACTCCACTTTCACCCGTGACCGATGAGATTCCTCCTCTCGATCATTCTTTCTTGCTGGAATAGTAGAATCCCCGAAAAATAAAAAACCGACGTGAAGTTGTTCGACTTGACGCTAACTGCTCTGATTCTCTTTCTCTTTCAGTAACGAAGGATTGAGTTATTTCTCTCGGGAATAACCGGATTCTGATCGTTGAATCAACCGTGACTGTATACTTCCTTGCCATTGACCTCACTCTTACTAGAACATGCCTTTCCTTTTTATTTCCTAACCCTAGGTAGACGTGTTTTTTACACTTTGCAGGTGAATTAATAGTAAGTTGTTTTGCTTTAGAGAAATAGAAATTTCGACGTTAAAGAGAAGTCCCACGAATAAAAGTGTCCAACGAAATCTTATCCTTTTTTGATCCCGAATACAACGGTGTGCTTGGTTTTTCATTAGCTCTTGCGGATCCTAAGTTACTGCGAAAATAGCGAATCGACACGTCTAACGTCGTGCTTGGGGTTAGTAGTTTTTCGCGATTTTCACCTAACCTACTGGGCCGATTTTCGTTTTCTCTACGGCGCTCTATTCTGGACGCCGGCGTCGAATATTCGAACCACGATGGCGAGGGCAAGTACCGAGAAATAAAAATTTCGACGTTAAAGAGAAGTCCCACGAATAAAAGTGTCCAACGAAATCTTATCCTTCAACGACGATCCCTAAGTGTTTTAATTCAGCGATACCCCAATATCTGCTCCTAGTTTCGAGGAATTGGAGCAAACCGGGCATCGCAATAAGCATTGGGACATTCGTTATTAAGTGTTACTAGAAGATTAGAAGAACCGGGTCAAAAATGACCCACTAGCATCTCTCCAAATCTGAATTTCTATGTAACTAAAACGTGATTAAAAAATTCAATTCGTATCAACGCAAATAGAAGCGTACATATACAGAACAAAGTAGAAAAATTGCAAACGACAATTTACCATTTTGGTCATTTTTCACCCAGCCAGTAATTCTACTGTTAATTCCAATATCTACATATGGAAATGCACTATTGTCAGAAAGTACTCTGACTCGGAGCAGGGCGGGCGTGAGATTAATCGAACGTGTCTACGTTTTCACAATAGTATACGTTACACAAGAATTGTATCCGACTTTGACGGAACAAGCGATGCAACCGACATTCTTACCTATTTGCCATGAATACCTCGAAATTTGCAAATCGAAGACGACGATAAATATGACAATTCGAATAATTTCTATCTTTCTCACGACATTCTTCCAAATGAAAAATTGTATCACTGCTGACTATGTAGGGATGACCCAGCGTGAGTGCGTGTTTGTATGAATGCGTTGTCTGTGTGAATGCGTGAGGGTCTATGACCGGAGCGGTAAGGACCGGTGTGCCAGGTCGAGTGTTTGGGATAGCGCGAAAGATATTGAACGAATGTTTAGTTTTAGTAATCAGGCGAGGAGTGCGTGAGTGCGTGTGTGTTTTCTTCTAGCGAAAAGTGTGCATGTATGCAAGATGACATTAGGGTGAATGCGAGGGAGCGAAAGGCAGTATGAATCCAGCGATTGATTGAGCGACATCCTGAGCGTAGCACGTATAAAGTATTAATAAATATAGCATAGTCAAAAGTCCGTTCGAGTTTACTATCCCTCCACACATAAATCCCCTACAACTATAATGTCAGAAAGTACTCTGACTCTGAAATTAGTTAAACGTTTCTACGTTCAACCGCGTTATCTGAGAGTCGTTTGCAAAAAGTGTGCTTCGAGGACGCGTCGTTCTGCCGATCCCTGTCCACCCCTACGCGAACAGGCCCAGGGAGAAACCCAAAGCGCTGGGCCTGGCTTCGAGATGCTCGCTCCACCGTCTTCGGGATGGATTTTCTCACGCTTAGCTAAAACAAAACGAAGTTTCCAATATAACAATTTTGCAATAATTATTCAAGTTTCTTTCACATTCGATAAGTGTCCCGGTACTTATGAACAGGCGTGTAAGTACAATTATCGACGATAGCGGTGGTCTATTGTTCGATCTACGGGCGAACAGAGCGAGAGAGGTAAGAAGAGGGTCGATCACGTTCAGATTCAACGTCGATTTTCTCATTCAGATCGCGTGGAATCGCGTGACCCCGGCTCGTATCAGCTCACATCCGTGGCCGTGAAGACTCGCGGACACCACGAGTCTGTTTTTCATACCGCCGGGCTACCTCGAAATTCCGTGACGTGAATCGGACGTTCCAACTCGAAACGAGTGCGTAGGCATACCTTGTCGCGGAGAATGGGAGTTTGACGAGGTTTCGGGTCAAGTGTTTCGTATACAGGCCGGTGTTTAGCGAGCAGGAAATTCGGGGGTTATCTGGAAGATGGGCTTAGGATTCGCTTTGCGAGTGGAATTCCTAATTCGAGTATTGCGAAACTATAGGGGAATCCTTTCTTCGTTCGAAGATCATTTGAATACGCTGTTTGTTGAGCAATCGGTGAATTAGTGTTCCTTTTATTTCGGTGAATCATGGAACATCTCTTGTGTTTTACCTTGTGGCGAGGAGAGGAAACGGAGGGAAGTGAGCTTCGTTTCTAAGGGATTCTTCACTCTGTGACTTTCTTGGGTGACAGAGGTTTGTTAATAAAAACTTCCAGTATTGAATATTAACCCTTTCGCGACTAGCGCCGGTTATATCCGGCACCCTCTAAATGCTTCACACTGGCTAGCGCCGGTTATATCCGGCATCCACTAATTGTAAGCACGTCGCCTCAACAGCATTCCTTTTGCCCAATACATCCTTAAGTCCTCTGCTGTTCCAACGAAATCCTCTAAGATTTTACACGGACACACTGGGAGCTCGAAAAACGCACGACGACCCGTCCGTTAGTGGCGTACTGATGCCTAGTTCCGTCGTCGCGAAAGGGTTAAAGACTCAATACAAAGGGCAGTTTGTTTCATTTTTAATTACTTCCAAGGGACTTCTGCATATAGTCATGTAAGACTATTTAGGAGATCTATAACATTTTCTTCAACATACGTTTGTTAATAAAATGAAGAAAAAAATTGTTGACGTACAAATGGGAAGATATGATGTAATTCTAGTGTTGAATATTAAAGACTCGGTGCAAAGGGAAGTTTGTTTCATTCTTAAATACTTCCAAGGGACTTCTTCAGTCAAGTAAGACTATTCAGGAGATCCGTCACGTTTTCTGCAACATACGTTTGTTAATAATAAAAAGGGAAAAAAGGATTATTAAACGTACAAATAGGAAGATACGGCATAATTCTAGCATTGTATACTAGAGTCTCGTTGTCAGTGCAAAGGGAAGTTTGTTTTACTCTTAAATACTTCCAAGGGACTTCTGTACTCAAGTTAGACTATTTAGGAGATCCGTCATTTCTTTTGCATCACACGTTTGTTAATAATAAAAAAGAAGGAAATATGACATAATTCTATTATTGCATACTAAAAGCTGAGTACAAAGGGAAGTTTGTTTCCTTCTTAAGGGACTCGGCAAGTAAGACTAATTAGGAGACCCGTCGCATTTTCTGCAATATACATTTTTTAATAATAAAAACAGAGAGAATATCGTTACACAATAAAAACTCCGTGCAAAATATGCAAAACGCTTACATAGGAAATCGCATTAATGCAGTAATATGCAATTAAATCCAGAGGCAATTACTCCTCAATGAAACTGACTTAAGAATTAGTATAGAAAGCTATAAAATTATACCTCGCAATAAAGGATCGAATTCATTTTCACGAATACCACTGCGTTCAACTGACTCAAGAATTACTCTGGAAAGATGTAAAAATTATACCGTTTAACAGAAGATTAAATTCATTTGCAAGGCTAAGAGCCTAAACGAGAACTTGCAATAGAGATTGATCTTTCGTCAGTTAATCGCAGAATTAATTATCGATGAATTGGTATCAATTACAGGCACGGTATCTCGAATATTTAACCGTCTCAAGGTTTCCTCCAACCATAATTCTCAATCCCTTCCTTCCTGTTCGCCGAGCAGCATTATCCTCCGGTCAATTAATCTCAAAGTACTTCATTCCGAGAAATGACAATAATTATCTCGACAATCTTTCATTACCAAGGAGCTGAACAAGTTCGAGTTTATCCCTCTCCTTCCACCCTTGTTTATCCTTCCGAGGGGTAAAAAATCCCATCTAAACGCTGGTCGAAGGATAATTACGAAAGCTCGTTCTCAGGAAAAATATGCAGGTATCTGTCGATCGATTACACGTCTGAAACGTCGACGCAAAGGCGAACCTAATCACGACACTCCAAAAGTACTCCAAGTACTACAGCTTTAGAGAAGAGAGAAAGAAGAAGATGAAAAGTTTCCGTCGAATTTCCCATTACAAACTTTCCCGTGCAAACTTTACTCGTTAAAAACGTTCGATGCAATTCTCAGGTGTTCCTTCCACGTGGAAGCCTACACGGTCACCGGGATTTCTTCGTCGATTTTAAAGGAGCGTGCAAGAGCTTTCCTAATCGAGCGAGAGTTGGGCGAAACTTTCTCGAGGAAGAAGATAGAAAAATGTTTGCAAAACAGATGCGTCGTTTCGTATAATTGGAGGAACCACTTCGACGAGTCTCCAACTTATACCTTATTTCAATACTGGACGCAATAAATTGGCGATACCGGCGCGTATTTGCTATTCAAATTTTCTAGTTGCTTGCGTCTTTTTTCGTCGCGAATAAACGATCGATTTATCGCTATATGTTGGATAGGAATGTTGAAAGGTTGGTTCGTTGTGTTTCGTACAATAGCAGAGGCTCAATTATCGAAATGCATCGACAGATGTTACAATTGTCTAATAGCGCCGATCCTTTGGAAGCTCGCTTATTTCTTCAACGATCGTTCGCTCTGTCGTGCAAATAACAGAATGCGCTTTTCGCAGGCCTGCGTATTACAGGTGGAAAATGTCGCGTGGAGAACCAGTTTTGCTAAACGACGATGGAAAACTTTATGCAAATCTCCATTGGAACTTACTGAATCCAGTGTTCACACTGTTGTCTCGGTAATATCGTGGTGAATAAACTTTACTTTGGACGTTGATCAATTGAAAATGATTCTTCGAGACACTTTCTAACCCCTGATCCACGTTTCAAACGTAGCGAAGTTTGTCTAAGCTCCACTTTGCACTGAAACTACCCCCATGGTAAATTCCTAAAATTTGAAGATCGATTAAATTCCACTTTGCACTTAAACTAACCCGTAGTAAAATTTCTCTTGATCCGTAGAATTCAGCTGAAGGTGGTTAAAATTTCGAAATCGATTAAATTCCACTTTGCACTTAAACTACCCCAATCGTAAAATTCCTCTTAACACTAGAACCACCAGCCCAGTCAAAACGACCTATTAGCGACTTTCCAAAGGCAGTGAATTTTTATGTAAGTAAACCGTGATTGGAAAATTCGATTCATACCGATACAAATAGAAGCATACATGTAGAATACTTACCAGTATTGAACATTCACGTTCCTTCGAAAGATGCTAATGGGTCATTTTGACCCGGTCGGTAGTTCTAGTGTTAATCTATAAATTCAGCTGAAGAATCGTTAAAATTTGAAAATCGATCAAATTCCACTTCACACTTAAATTACCCCAATCCTAAAATTTCTCTTCATCTATAGAATTCAGCTGAAGACAGTTGAAATTTGAAGATCGATTAAATTCCACTTTGCACTTAAACTACCCCAATCGTAAAGTTCCTCTTGATCCATAGAATTCAGCCGGAGATCGTTAAAATTTCGATACACTTAAACTACCCCATAGTAAAATTTCTCTTAATCCATAGAATTCATCGGAAGAATGATTAAAATGTCGAAATTAACTAAATTCCACTGTACACTTAAACAACCCCTCTTAATCCATAGAAATTGGGTAGAAAATGTGAAAGAATTATCAACGACGATAATCTCAATCCAACACTCGGCACCATCTGCGTCCAACAGAAAATTTCCTTCCCAGAATAAATTTCTTCGAATCGAATCGAAGGTAGGGCCGAGAGGAGGCATCGTCTATATCACGTTTCTTCGGTTTTCTAACGAGCCACCGGTCGCATCTATAGATCGCGAGGATGGCTGATCCTAAGCGAAGCGTCAGACCACGCGCGATCTGTCTCCAATTGGATATGCGGCAAGCCCCCCGAGGAATTTCTCTGACGTTGAACAACTGTCACAAAGGCTACACACGGGCCAGAAATAAAGGGTAATAGCGTCGGGCAATCGGATCGGTGGCTGCTTCTGGCGGCGATTATTTGAAAAAACCTGAAGATGGCAGGAGGTTTAATAGCTGGCAATCACGACGTAGCCGCATTTCTTCGTGATCGCTCCTTCACGAGAGAGCAACTTCCTGTTTCCATTCACTCCCGATCGCTAGCGTTCGCCAATTAGTGAACGAGTCGTCGTGTCGTCGAGGAAAACGTGAGTAACTCAGAAGGTTAACGCGACCGATTGATTTTTCAATGGTTTTTGAGTTTTTCAAAAAATTGATTTTTCGCTGGTTTTTCATTTTTCACTGGTTTACATTAATGCACGATTTTCTCCTCGATATGCGAAATACGATTGTCTGTGCCAGAAAAATTGATCGACAGAGATACGTGCAACGAGGTGTGTCGAATATGTGTCGACTGTTTCGCGATCGACAGCTTATTATAAGCTACCCGCGACGAGAGTTTCGATCGTTGGCTCGACTCCCGCGGAGAAAGACCGATCGATCGTTTCATTGATAGATTTTAAATGAAACGGTCGTTAGAGAAACGATCGTGGGATTGAATATAATGAAAAATGAAAATTGATCGACAGTTTTGATCGTTGGCTCGAGTCCCGCGGAAGAAGATTGATCGATCCTCATATTACATAGATAGATCTTAGACGTATTTGTAGAAAATTCTTTAACAGTTGTCTACATGTACTTTTAAGATAGATTTTAGAGTGTTCGTAGAGTAAGGATATATGTCCACGGGGAACAAGGAGCGCAAATAGCGCAAAGAGACACACTCGTCGCGGTCGCGTTTGCTCTTTAATATTCGCGTGGCTGGCTGTTTATGAGACTGGGGTCACGTATCGACGGATGCCTGTCGTTGCTTCTCTTCTTTCGACCGAGGCACCGCTCCTTTTTCGATCGGCTATTGTACTCTTTATAGATTAGATTCAGATTATAGATTCGAAATTCTCTAATCTGACACTTATTTCACGACGACTCTGTCGAGTTTAAACACTCGAGAGCGTTCAAATCGTGTGCAAAATCTCTGAAGCTTTTTCTCCATTTGAAATCTTTCAATTTTCAAGCTTGCAATCTGTTCGAAAGTTTGAAAACTGAGAATTCATGAATTAAGGTGATAGATGTTTAATACCGATTAGGTTCTTCCACGCGTCAGACCGATAAATTTATCATTTTTCTACGTTTTGGAAATTTCAATTAGCCGGGAAGTTTGGAAACAGGTGAAAAATGACCGCAGACGATTAAAAGCCAGGCGAGAAATCGATTTTCACGAAATCGTTACGACAATTTTCTCAGTTTTAGAGATTTCTCAGTTTTGCTCCAACGTAAACGCGAACGACGTGATCTAAAATTAAAATCGACACGCGTACACGGTTGTTGCTCGTAAATTCGATCGTCAATTCGTTAATTCCGTATGATTTAACGCCGCTATGTTCAGACGACTCTATCTCGACTGTTTCAACTACGAAATTTCCGAAATTCCGAATTTTCACAACGGTATCGTGCGATCATTTCACTGATAACTGACCGTCCCCCGTGGACATCGAGTTATACGCTCCGTTGTTTGTTAATTTAGGTGCGAAAAGCGGAATTAATTCGTATTTCGCCAGCTGTCGATCGTGACGATTTACGTCAACAATTTAACGTTCGATACGATATCCGAATTATGAAATTTCCTGCTAAATATTCCATCCTCCAGAATTATTCTCGCGAATATAAAAATGATCCTCGCATGTGCAAAAATACTGAAACTTTTGTTAAATATTTTATCTCCCAAAATGATCCTCGCATGTGCAAAAATACTGAAAATTTTCTGTCAAATATTTTCTCCTCCAGAATTATCCTCACAAATATAAAAACACTGAAATCTCTGTATTCAATATTTCATCCTCACGTATCTAAAAATACCTAAAATTTTCTGTCAATGACGTTATTCTCCATAATTTTACATAATTTCACCTCAGTTTCCTCTGTTATTTCCTCAAATATCTTCGCGCGCCATTCCTCGCTCTTTCGCCCGTCACATTTTTCACTCTTCTTAATTATTTCCCGTTTTGCCCGGCACAAAGCGTCGGTGGAATATTTACGAACTGTGGCGCGTGTGTACGTTAACGCAGCTAAAATTCTACGACCACCAGCGGTCAGTACAATTGACAAGACTCAACTTTCAACGATGTCCGTTACATCCGCGCTAATTCCTCGGCCGACAGTTCCGCTAGGTCTTCTACTCGCTTAATTAGACGAGCCCCGCTCCAGATGTAACGTAAACACACCGGTTCCTCCCTTCCTCTCCTTTTCTTCCATTCGAGAACAGAATGCCAAGAGCACTGTGTTTAATCGCCTCGCGCCGCCTCTTTAATATTCATCGATTTTTCACAATTACCAGCTGGAATTACGAGGAGTCTCTCTCTCTCTTTCGAATGGAAGACGTAACCGCGGGAATCTTATCGCGTATTCCATTAAATTTCACGTTCGACCGTCGTCAGCCTCGATAATTCAATCGGGGAATAACGTTTTCGATAATGACACAGGCGTTGACAACGTTGTTACGCGCCGGAAGGAACGGTGAAGCGGCGAAAAATTGTGCAAATAATCACACTCGAGCTGAGGTCTCTCTCTTCGTTTCTTTTTTTAGCTTATTTAGAAATGTCATATTTCTTTGCCTCGAGCAAATTTGTATCGAAATAACGTCGCAGTAAAGTTCTTTCTTTCAGCTTGTTTCAAAGTGCAACAAACCTCTCTTTGCCTGAAATTAATGAAATCTGTGGAAACTGTGTTAGCTTATTCAAAAATTGAACAAATTTCTCTTCGTCTCAAATGAATTATGGAAACTGTATCGAAATAGAATCACGGTAAAATTTCTCTTTATCTCAATCGAACGAACTCGGTGGAAATTATCGAAATAAAATCAGGCTAAAATTTCTTCAGTTAGCTAGTTTAAAAATTTGCCAAATTTCTCTTTGCCACAGCCGAACTAAACGAACGAAATACTGCACGAACCTAAGGCTCCAGAGGAGATTACCGAACCTTCACCCCCTTCGATTCAATTCGACGAGTAAAGTCTGTCCGATATCAACCTGAGCATAACATCGATCAAGCGAACTGCAAACTGTACCATCTGAGTGACGTTTTAACAATCGTATCTCTCTGTGTGCAGACAGAATTATCCGCGGGAGGAGAAATGTTTGCGCGGGATCGGTGAGACTTCACCGCGGTGTCGCACTCGCGTCATCCACCGTCACCCATTTTCTCTCTCTTTCGTTTTATTGTTTCGCTCGAAATCCCGTTAATTTATGCTGTCGCGTTACCAAACGAATAACATCACCTGCGCGCAATTAAAACGAAACAAAACACACGTCGCAGAAGAAACGTTTAAAAACTGGCCACCGATGTTCTCCACAATCAGAAACGAAAATGGCGTCCAGCTACATCTTCCAGAAGAGCACACTCTGATTTCATTCCTTTCTTTTCCGCCACGACACCAAGTGCGAGTGTTGGAAATCCTTCTCGAGTGAGTAGGATTAGAGACGAATTAACGATAATTCGAGTTGAATATACTTGGAGGCCAATTTCGAGTATCGGCGAAGTTTGTCGCGTTATCAAGGGCCAACCGAGGCCCGTGACAAAGTTGTTCCGCGGATTGCTATGCCCGAGAGAGGGGCAAGTAGGCTCGTACGCATGTCTGTGTGCACACCAACACAATCTCGGACAAAGAACCATTGGTGTTCGTTATATAACGAATTATCGAGGGCCTATATTACAGGTGTTTCTTAGAGAAAAGACCATTTTAACAAAGTGCGCGCTCGTTGCCGGTAAGTGGATCGTTTTCTTTTTCTTCCTCTTCATTTTAAGTCTGTTTCTTTTGTCCGCGGAGGCTGACAGCCGAATTTTTTCTCTCTCCGATCGGTCTCACCCCGGTGCACAGATTACCGGCGACACTATCGTGACGTCATCGCTCAGCATTCAATTTCCCGAGCTGTCCATGGACAATAGAGAGCGGTGGTGGGGAGGATCGAGGCGGAAAGTTTGATCGGGTCCTGGGATAAGCTTAGATCGCGACGAAAAACCGGGAAACGTCGAGGGAATTGATAAGTGTCGATGACGTGCTTTGGAATTTTCTCGTTTTCGAAGAAGGCGACGAGGGACGACGGTAGACTTCAGGATTCATAGGGGATTGCTTTTTTGGAGAGGTTCAGGAGGTTGGAGGATTTTCTGTTCTTTGTGGTTTCGTGGGTTTTGTTTTGTTGCCATCGCGAGGAAAGTCAGGTGTTTTTTTTAATGCGAATTTTTTAGTCGAAGTAGGTGATTTTTGGCTAATTTGTGAAAGATCCTCGGGTAGCAGATGTTGGTCACATAAAATGGTGAAATAAACTTGTCATGTTTATTGAATAGTATTGTGAAATACTTCTTTCGTTGCTAGTTTTCTAATAGTGTGGTAATTTGTAAGCTTCTCTTAAGTTAATAAGAATTGTTCACTTGAAGTAGATGTTCTCCAACAAGTTTGTCAAAGATCCTCGAATTAATGACACAAAGTGGTGAAATAAATTCGACAGGTTTATCTTGAAATACTGCTTCATACATTAGAAGTGTTTCTTCCATTGCTAATTCACCAAGCTTCTCCCAATACAAATTGTTCACTTGAACAATAGATGTTCTCCAATAAGTTTGTCAAAGATCCTCGAATTAATGACACAAAGTGGTGAAATAAATTCGACAGGTTTATCTTGAAATACTGCTTCATACATTAGAAGTGTTTCTTCCATTGCTAATTCACCAAGCTTCTCCCAATACAAATTGTTCACTTGAACAATAGATGTTCTCCAATAAGTTTGTCAAAGATCCTCGAATTAATGACACAAAGTGGTGAAATAAATTCGACAGGTTTATCTTGAAATACTGTTTCATACATTAGAAGTGTTTCTTCCATTGCTAATTCACCAAGCTTCTCTCAATACAAATTGTTCACTTGAACAATAGATGTTCTCCAACAAGTTTGTGAAAGATCCTCGAATTAATGACACAAAGTGGTGAAATAAATTCGCCAAGTTTATCGAATAATATCACGAAATACTTGTTTCGTTACTAATTTTCCAATAGTGTGATAATTTCCAATCTTCTCTTATCTTAATGCGAACTGTTCATTTGAAGTGGGTGCTCTCCAAAAAATTTGTGAAAGATCCTCGAATTAATGACACAAAAT